TGCCAAGTAGATTGTTTGCAACTTCCAATTGTTTATATGTTTCTCGACTTTAATAAAGTTGTTCAAACAAACAGTACATTGTAGCCCTATTATAACCCCATTAATGAGCTAATTGCATAAAACTTTAAACGTATACAATGAAGGTCATTCATACTTGCTTGGTACACTTGTGGGACACAATAACTTTTCCCAGCTTCCTCTGAATCGTTTTAAGTTGTCACTTCTGATGTCCCAGATAACTTCTCATTTTCAACATGAAATGGCCATCAACTGTTGGAAAATATTTTTTTGTTTCATAATACTATTCTTGTTGCATGTGTGGCGAGCGGGGGGTTGTGAGCAGTGGTGCAGTGGTTAGCACACTGGTGACCTAAGTTCAAAACTAACATCAGTGGCACGTGAAATCTGAACTGGTGTTTGGGCGACCCTTCACCAACCACCGCTGACCTGCGTGGTGAAGTATGGTAAAACAAAACCCCCCATGACCGACATGGTATGAGGAAGCCCTCTCACGCAAGTGGAATGATACAGGGCGGAACATATTTAGTATTATTATTTTCGATACAAAACACTTCGGGTAGCCAAGTGGTTTTGATAATCTAGTAACGTTAGTTTGCAAGGCTACATTTTTGCCTGCCTTCAACATAGCCAGAGCATTCCCAAGCATTCCATTCGCCGATATTGAATACCCCGTGCAATAACTTATAAGAATTGCCCATTCCATTGTATGACTGTCATAGACCACAATGACAAATTTGAAAAATAACCATATTAAATATTTTTTTTATAAAATAATGGTCTGTGACTTGTATGATTACTCTGCACATGGCCACGTAAATGGAGAATTGCATACTACGTTAGCGCATGTGCACGTACAGCCCGTTTTGCCATTCCACTGCTGGATGAGAGACTCCCTATGCTGCGCGGAGCGTGGTGGTGGTGATGGTTGTTGTTGAAACGCACTTCACTCTCCGGTCGGTGTGGGGTTGGTGAACGCGGGGAGATGCGTAGATGTGGGAATGCATCATCTTCAGCATGCCCGCCACGTAGCATCGCAGCAGCCTATAACAACCTGTTATGCACGGTGGTCACCCAATCCGTCTGAGCCCTATCCAGGCCCCACGCTGCTTAGCTTCCGAGATCTAAAACGATGCCGGGCGCATTCCGGGTGATTTGGTCGGAGGATAAGACTCAAAGTAAAGCAATGAAATTTGACTTTCAAATAATAAACAGCCAACTGAACACTCTGAGTAAAAAAAAAGGCACGCCTGTATTTTTGAACTATCATGTGTGACTAAAAATGAACAGCTCTACTTGAGCGCACGCTGCCAAGTGAGTGTTAAATTACACGCGCTGATATCCATCTAAAATTGGCTTTAATGGCAATATTTTAAAATGAGACTGCAACAAAGGCAATGTTGAACGTGGCAGGCAGCCATCGCTTTGAAAACTGGTAGCAGCCGTCCGGACAGCTGCTTCCAGTGTGTAACTCCCTCTGCCAGCATGCACAGGCCGGACACTGCCTTAACCTACGTAAACACACAGCTACACGCACGCCCACACACACACACACACACCCCCCCACACTCCCAACAAGGACAAAGATGCCCCCTGTAGCCCACATTAGACCGTTGGGGGCTAAGTTGCTGTTCGCGAGCTGCCGGGCGTGGCACGGGCCAAGCCTTTGTCTAGCCGGTGCTGATGTTTTACTCTACCGCGCCAGGTATTCGTTTAATGCTGACTCGACCCGAGGAGTAGAGAGGGGGGGGGGAAGCCCATGACCGGTTATGGGTCATCCATTTAGTACGAACGCATGGAGGTGGGAGGGGGGGTTAACCCAAACGCGTACGCTTGCGTATTGGGGGTCTACTGACAATGTACGCATAGGAAACGGGGGTGGGAGGGGGTTGAAGCCTCGATAATAATTTGTCTACATTGGCCTTCAAATGAGTAAGATAGTCCGGCGGTGGACTGTTTGCTTAAACTCGATAATATTATTAACCCTTGATCGTTTCTGCGTGGATTAAATATCGGGCGTTCTATATGATTCGGGGGTAGGGGGGGGTGTAAAAAAACTCCGCGTGCGTACAGGGAGGGGGGGTGTCAAGTTTCGACAGATTTTTTTTGCGTACCTACTCAATGGATGGTCCCTTAAGATATTCGCCACTGATGTTGGCCGTGGCCGGGGATTGAACTCGGGTGGCCGGGTTTGTAGCGCAGTGCGCGAACCACTTGCCCCCCCCCCCTGCTCTACCCCCTAAAGCGCACGGAGGCGTGATCTTGGTGCCCGCTGTTATTCCAGCATTAGCCATGCCAAGGAAACTCCGCTTCGAAATGTTCGGCGCAACATTGAGTCAACCCCGCTCAGCGCTCGAATTGTCACAGTGACTAGAATTGTCACAGTGACACAATTGAGAACACACATTTCGGAAAGCTCAGGAGGCGCCGCGAGAAGGCTGCGCTGAAGAATGTTTCGGGCATGTGGCACCAGTCATCAGGACGTCGCACCAAGTTTGTTTCTTTAAAAAAAAAAATCCAAAACGCTTGTGACCACCCTCCTATTCAATGCACAAATATGCAATTCGAGTACGACGTTTTGCCGGTAATTACAACCAGCCTCATCAGCTGACGGCCAGAGTTGTGGAGGAATCCTCCTGTTTCGGTCTTGAGTGCGATGTCGTCGCTAGTGAGACAATTAGACCCGATGACCAGGGGGCAGAGCGGGGGGTTAATGCATTCATGTAAATGACACTCTATCTACGATTGGTTGGGTTAGTCACACTTTTAAACGGCGAAACGTCGTACTCGAATTGCTAATGTCGTGGGTTTTACTCTCCAACACACCGGTGTGCTGAACTAGTAACGATTTTGCATTATTGTTTACGTGGCAAACATTACTAATTGGCTGTGTGGTTGCGGGTTTAACAACACGTTTATATTTACGCGATCTATCCCCCAAAAAATCAGTCTCTATTATGGAAAATAAAACTTTTCAGAAACTGCTTCTCCCAACAATACCCTCTACAGAAGTACAAAAAAAAAAATCTGTGCAACTGCAGTCGGCTCTCGTCAACCAGCTCGCGACGCAATGAAAGAGTTTGGTTTCCGGCGCGTGTCCTCCAGCTCGCATCGTCGGTGTGGAAGATAAGGCCTCGTCCTTTGAAAGCGGGATAATGAAACGTATTTTTAATAGGAAAAAGTGTGGCTTGAGACGTATTTTCAGAGTAAACTGCAAGCTATTGACCACATGAACCCGTGCTGAATCTCATTGCCTGCCCATCTGTTTTCACTGAAGTACTTAATCAAATCTCCACCTACATTTCCAACTGTTTCAAAAATGCTGCCCGAAATGTCTGTACTGGAGGAATTTGGATTTTGCCGGTTTTTTTTTTTGTAAGGGCCATTTATCACACTTCCAACACGAGATTGTGGCGCGGCATGTGAAGTGTGCATCCATACAATCCATACAATACAATACAGTGTTTGGATACACCGAGCAGGCATGCATGTGCTCAGTTGGTATAAGAACAAAGCTGGGAAGTGCTTCTATGAGCTACCGAGCTCCAGGAATGCACTCAACATCGTGCACCACTTTGCTTGCATGAATATAAAACACATTGCTGCGTGTAAGTCACAGTAGGGTGTTATTAACGATGTTTCTTTAGTCTTCGTAATAAGGACTGTTATCCGGACACCCAGCAATATGCTAAAGTACAATCGTGCACACAATGGTATAATAATAATTATTATTCTTATAATAATGCAGGCATTCTACATCAACCCAGACTGTCCCACCAGCAATAACGTTTCAATTCTACCTCTTGCATGTGTTTTTTTTCTTCTGCATACCACTCTTCGAAGACATGTTCATTAAACAAATGCAGCGCTGCTCTTTCAATGCACTGATCAATCATGTATGATGAGCCAAAGAAGAGTCATTACAGCGCACGTTTTTTTTGTACTATTAAACACCTTTTCGGCGACTAATTGGGTGACCTGTTTCATGTATTTATATATTGTTTGATATATACAAATTTTGTTTGTTGCGGTTGCACCCGACTTAAGAGCCGCATGGCTCACAGGGCTGTACCTAATAAATAAAACTTGAATGTAAAAAAAATCAAATGTGAAAGCTCTTGTTAAAGAGCTGGGAGGGGTGAAACACCTGTTCATGCAGGTTTGTGTTATACCCTATTCGCGGAAAACTGTTTGTATGCCAATAAAACCTGATCATTCATAAGATGTCTTTAAAATATGAACAAGTCCTACATTTCTCAGTGGCCCACAGTGGAAAGTGCAATCCTTCAACTATAATATAGGCAGTCAATAATCTGTGGCCACTCTCTCTCTGCTGAAGAAAGGCCATTGCTCTACGCGTCAGAATGCTGGGTATGTTTCTGTTGCAAGGCTTACTGACGAATGTGACCAGTGATTACATATTTTTTCGTGTGCTTGTCCACTGTATTGCCTAACCATTGCCACAAAGTTCTGCGATGCGTTTTCGGGTCGTACGACCGCGTCGTTTGGCATGATGTCCGACGTTTCGCTCCACGTGTTCAGTTACTTCATTATATAAAGCTGCTGCCTGCTGCTGCAGCTGCTGCTGTTTTAATGTAGGCCAGGCAATAATGTCCATTAGCTTGGTCACTTGTGCACACGAGCTCAATATTTCTCATTACCTCCGCCCTCCCGTCAACTTATTCGTGCAAGCTCAGCACTTGTGCATGTGGTGACCAACCAGTTAAATACCCCCCCCCCCCCCACCCCCCGCGCGCGTATGTGTGTGTTTGTGTTAACACGAGCTGACACCACGTGCACAATCACGTGACGCGTATACAAAGAGGGCACGTGCACACGAGCACAGGTGAGAACATGCGTGTGTTATGGGCTCCACTCCACTGCACTTTGAACAGAGAGGAGTAGCCGCGCACATGTGGTGTGGGAATGGCCCAGCGTCGTGTCGGTGACAATGGACATCAAAAAACAAGGGGGCGTCTGACCTGCAAATTGCGGGTCAACCGGAGTCTGTTTAACTCCATCCTCACTCACGCTTCCTTTCAGTTTTCATTAAGACACGAAAACAGACAACAATAATAATAATAATGTGTGTCGCACACGACGTGCACATATTCCGTCGTTATCCGACGGCAAGCACTTCTCACCTTCGGCCTTGTAGCTGCACAATTTACGAGTCACCGGTAATGAGCTTTTCTTGCTTTTATATCGGCATTAGCGTCACACTGCACAGAAGGTGAATTCGCTGATGGCGGGGATTGTATGTGTTCTTAGCACGAGACTTAAAGCAATGTGGCACTTTAGGCTGAGCCTGCCCCTATGGGTAAAACCAATCAACCTCTGCGGTATAATATTTGTGGGTCTAATTTTAAAGGGTATTTTTGTTCGAGTTATAAGCATAGACTTGTATGAATGTCGAACTTCTTTTGCACCGTACGTAGCCAACCGTGCTAATCGGAGGAGGTGCGGGGGAAGGACAACAAACCGTAACTGCCAAATTTCACCTTTTCAGCACTGATCAAAACTCGATCAACATTCACATCAGTCACTCGCTCGATCGCGTTTTTTTTTTTTACGAGCAGTTCCACAAATCACTTCACGGTCAAAATTCCCAAATCATCTTAATACTACCCACGGCATGTTATCTTGAAGGTACTTGCATCTAGTCTCGGGAAGAGTGGCTTATTTCTTGAACAGGTTAACGGTGTTTGACACTCACACAAAAACAGAAATTCAATTCGCCTCAGCATGTCCGATACGTTGGCATCTTACGAGCGTTTCTCCCGCTTATCAAGAAGAGTGGACAAGAATAGGAGCTAATACAGTCTTCACCCTCACCTCTCGGACCAACGGGGCCTGGTGGGCCGGCTGGACCTTGTGCCCCACCCGGGGGGATCTTGTTGGCCTCCCGTCCGGCCAGCGGGATATCGTTCCGTGTGACCGCGTCCCGGGGCCCTACGGCCTCCAGGAGAACCACCTGCATGGAGTAAGAACAACAAATTTAATCCACAATGACGTTGATGCTACATACTTGTGCTTTGCTTATCGCTGCACCGTGGTTTTAATGGAACGAGTGGGAAGGAATGACGCGGATTTGGTGTTGGGAGACAATGCTGTTGTGCGTCATGGATTCATCGCCACCAACCGCGATCTACACAATGCTGGATGGAGGCATCCATGAAACGCCGCCATCTTTGCTTGCCACAAATGAACCATAATGCCTTGCAGACCTCGTCAAGGACCATAAACCATCGTGCAACCTCCGGTCATCCTTGCCAGCAGCTTTTGGCTAGCCATTGAACAAAGATGGCCACTGCATCGTTCACTTCCTTCCGATATTGGGAAACCACTGGAGTTATGAACTTTTACATTTAAATTGAAAACTAATTTCTTTAGAACTTTTTTTATGTTTAGTTTGTTGTCCTTCCCCTGCACCTCCAATGAGCACGGTTGGCTACATACGGTGTGAAAGAAGTTCAACATACGGGCATACATACTTACATTTCCCCCAGTCATGTTATAAAACAATCCAACCAGAACCTAAACAAACACGAGCTGAATTTAGCACTCCTTCTCCACAGAGAATGCATGATACTCCCTCCATTGGCTACCACTGTGTCATTAGTGTCGGCTATCATCCCTCATAATGACATGTTCTGCCCAAAGCCACTTCGGGTGAGATTTTATCTGGGCACAGATAAAAACCTATTGAACAATAAATGCTCAATTTCGATAGGGACCTCGTTACACTAATGTAGAAACCTGGTTATAAAAGTAAAAAAACCCTTAAAACTGGCTTTTCTTAATAGTTTATATGATTCCTTAAACGTGTAAAGTATAAGTAAAAAAAAAATCCGTGTTCCATTATCTGTCTTTCAGTGTAATTCCAAACATGCACCTCCCCATTCCGTGTCTTATCACAGACATGAATTACCGTACTCCTGTCTATCACAGAAATGAGTAATGTAAGAGGCACGAGTAATTCATGTCTATTGCAGAAATTAATTACTTCTGTGTGTATGTGGTATGGCTAACGGAAGTCGCTACGATCTGAATAAAAAAAAACGATTTCACATGCGTTGGTCAAGCCGCAACTGCCTTTTGTGAAATGTTACCACATTGCAAACGGCAGAGGGAACTAATACCTCCCTAAATTACAGCGGCTTGAACGAAAAGGGACGGCGATAAATAATGAGCCTTCAGGGCCGTGTTGAGATGCGTGGGATACAAGACGTGAAATGTTCTTACCTCCCACCCCCTACTGAGATGCTGCCAAAACCAAATCGTGTGCAAGGATGATAGGTTTTCAATGTGTGTCTTGGAAAATATTCAAAGGTGTTTGTGACGCAGGGTTTAATTCTCAATTTCAGGGAAGATATCTGTCGTACACCCGGGTTCACTTCTCGCAGCACGTGATGATCCACCAAATTCACAATTCGGTGGAGCTGTGGTGTAGTGGTCCGCACGCTGTACTATGAAGCCAAGAAGCTCCGTTAGATTCCCGGCCACGGCTAACATCAGTGGTGAGTGATATCTGAACTAGTCATGGACACCCCCCCCGCCCCACTTCAACTTGCACGACCAGCAGGGTGAAGTATGGTCCCACAAACCCCCCAGACTGACACTGCATGGGAAGACTTGTCATCCTGCGGTGGATTGACAAAGGGCTGTCATTTTCCATAACAAATATTATCAATATAAACGCTTGGGATAAAAATTATTGGTGTACCGATTAGCATTCTGGGCTTACACTCTAGAGGTTGCCAGTTCGATTTAATCTCCTGGCACGGGCGGTTAAAACAACGGGGCGAGTTATTTAAATCCACCCGTCTGCCGTGCCCCCGCCTCTTGTCCACCCAGGGGCATGAATGGGTTTGCCACAGTTAGTTGATCGGCGAGGGCACCCACGGTGGGGTGAAAGTGTGGGTTCCTGCCACCTCTACCAAAGATCAGCATTAACATTAAAAGAGTAGGACAAACACACCCTACCGGAGTCTCGAGAGGGCCCTCCAGTGGCTCCCTCTAGCGGAGGCCCCTCGCCCCTGCCAGCAGCTTGTGTGAGCCAGACGTTGCAGGGCTGCGCCCTGTGGTGGAAGGCCCTGAGAAACTGGCCTGTCTCCCTCACAGAATGAGGCCACTCTGCTCTGTTTTCTAGCAGCCAGTGTGCAAAAGGGTACCTCTCGGCCTCACGCTTTGTTGCCCATTGACTAATCAAGATGTGACCGGTGGCATGTAAGGGTGGAAGGGTGGTTGTTTTTTCTTCTCCACCCCTCTGAGGGATAAATTCGTGAATGAATAATAAGGCCGCTTTGTAGCTCTTCTGTGAGGAATAGAAGGTTAATTGGATGGATGTGCCCTGCTGAGAGGATTAATGAACCGATTACCATTAGCATATGAGAGCGGCCAAGTAGACAACTCTGTTTCACACAAAAGGCATTCGGACCTGCTCTGGACGTGAATGGCACAGGCTCTCAGTTCACGGCAATGATATACATTTATTGAATATAAAGAAACGAATGGACACCCGGTTATAGGGGTCCAGTGTTTTCTGAGAAAGTCCATTCATTGTAAATGTCAATACATCCAGTCGTTTTCAACAAACAAGTATGTTAATGCTGGGGCATCTACTTTACATCTCATAGGGTCCGCATTGCTTTAATCCATGCCGCAATTGTGTGTAATAAGATTGGAGCAACAAGACGTTGTGAACACCCTGTACTATTACATGAAGGCCTCCCCATTCCCAACTCTGCAGTCTTTCACCATCAGCCACGATGATGGCCTCCACTCAGGGTCTTCATCGTTTACAGTTCTGTGACGCAACAATTGTAACTTGCTGTCACCCTTAACATCATCATTGGATCCCTCCAGTCTAAATACAGATTTCGATTCTGGATCTACCTTGCACCGGCAAGCAAGCCGACGTCATCGCTCCGTCGCAATGGAGGACGTCCTCTGGGACGCGTTCCATTCCTTGGCTGCCACTCCAATTCTTGAGAACACGTCCACAATCCCTTCCAGCGATGTGCCCTGCCGAAGCCCACTTACTTTAACCCTATCCGTTTTGAATTGTGTCTTTAACCTGCATATGCTCTCCAATCTACGAGTTCCTCTTTCTATGCAAATGAAACATTTCCTTGCCACTGCACGCTCGTCAGCTCCTTTTTAAACTTGCGAACACTTTATCTCGGCTGCTCCCACCATCACAAGCATCGTTGATCGGATTTCATCAATCTCTACCAAGTGATGGGCTGGTCATCCTTGTGAAATAGCTGTCTGTTTCAATGGGCCTCACCTGTCTGAGTTGAATATTTCCTGCCCAATTCTATTCCTTTTACTAATTACCACAGCCTGCTGCATCAAGCCTTACTTTGTTGTACGTCGCGTCACTCTGTCGAAATTAGTGTGGGGGTGTGATTTTTTTAAAGGTTTTTTTTATATTTATTCCAATGGAGTGTGAGTAGCATAGCCATTTAAACATAGGTCACCCGCACAAATGGACAACTCTCACATAGTAACCAGAATTATTCACACACACAGTGACACAGGAGCTGCTTAGCTGCACACTAGCTCATAAATGTATCTGTAACGAGGCACTGTAGCCAAGTTACTAAACGCCACACTCAGCCATCACATTGAGCAGTAAATGAAAACGTACTTTGGCTTCCAGTGATTCCAGTCTCGATGCCATGTCGGTTATTCTTGTGCAGTTTAAGCACCCTGCAAAAGAGGACAACTGGATTACTGCAAAGTAGCAATGCACCGAGACGAGCAATAACAAAACCAAGTGCACGTTCATGTTTTCCCATCGTAAGTGGCAAATATCCCTTGAGTGGAAGTTCAAAATAGTTTATTAAACGCGAGCTATGTGCTAAATGAGCAGATTTACGGTCTGTGGCATTGGAATATTTTTTTTAAAAATACGCAAGAATCCAGACCACCTCTTTCTGCAGATTCTAAAGCTGTCAGATGTGTTTAATGATAACAATCTACACCGTCTCATAATTTAAAGGCTGAGCTTTGACTTGGCTCAACTCCAGCTGGATGGGAGTTTGATTAACTCCTGCCCGAACACAAATGTATATGACTGCGGCATGACAAGAAAACCGAGTTAATTTGCACAACACGGCATTCTGGGATGACCGTTGGCATAACGTTGTATTTAATACAAAATTAAATAAATAACCACGATGTAAGCTATTGTGTTATTTTATTCCCCTAAAATAAAATAAGCTCCTGAATTATTTTTTTTACATTCCTCCCTGCCATAAATATTGCAAAGGGTGTATTTGGGATAAGGTCACACAGCGAGAGGATTTAAATTTTGATTTAAAGCTTTCGTGACTGCAGTGATTCATATTCTTGGTTTTTTCGGTAAAGTCACGTTGAAGGGAAACAATAAAATATATAGAAAAAATATATATAAAATATATATATACAGCAAGAGGATTGCTCGCTGTACAGCTGACACATCCACGAACAGGAACGGACGTGCTTGAATCGCCCATCAACAAGTTTGCATGTTCCTCGTGACAGATTCATTCGGACACAAGATAATTAGGGCGCGAGATTAATAGTCTCACGGAGTGTTTGAATAGTAATCGTTTTCTAGATGTAGAAATCCTCCTACCGAAACTCACCAAAGAGTTGAAGGAAAATAATGCGTGGTTTATTTTTTGCAGTGGTCTGACATTATTATGTTTCGCTGATTACCAAATGAGTGTTCACATAGAGGACGCTGGTTTTCTCCATGGTGAAGACGTCTACATTTTCCTAAAAAGTTACGTTTAAATATAAAAAAAATGTTTTACCCAGTTTGAACATTTACTTGTTACCGGTGGCTGAGCCAATCATTGATTTTTTGCTTAGTGCCCAAATAATCGTTTGAGTGCTATTGAAGGCACCGATGTTGCGAATTGTAATTATCGTTCCATGTGGTACTCCTTTAATCGGTGAAACAAGTTTAGTAGCAGATAATACTTCTTACTTTTCACGTAACATTTTACATATATGGTAATTCTAATGGGAATTATCGTCATTATCATTATGAGTCATTGTCTTTTCACCCCTGGACGAATGTCTCCACCATGCCCGTCACTGATCTTCGCAGTTATTCAATTCCACGAGACATCTCACTCCTACGCCAGGTTCTATCAAATAACTTTAGTTAAAAAAACAAATCCCTTCGTTTTAAAAATCTAAATCAATGTACATTAAGGGAAATGTTCATGAAGTTGATTTATACAACCTGGTCCTGCACTTTATTTGACGTTTACTGTGGTTAAAATCTACTTCGGATTTTTATTTTATTTGAAATGTCATCCTTAATGTTGCAAGTATTTGTTCGCGTAAATTTCGCCTTGCCGTTTATATTCAAGTCTAAATTGTGCGAGTGTGCACTTGTGCATTTCGTTCACGTGTTGCAGTGAAACGATTCCATATCGGTTCATTTACATGCGTGCAGTTTTCCAGATTTAAAAAAAACGAGTCCACGTGAGCTACACATTCCAACGAAAAACTAGATGACGAGACTTGGTCAAATCTTGCCGTTTCAGCAATCTTAAGTACACCGAGCCCGTTGGCTTAAGGTTGCCATTAAGTCACGGGAAAAGACAACACTGATCAGTGAGGCTATTGTGTAAGGGTATTTAGGGCAAAAGCAATTCAGGTCTCTGGTGCTCTATTTGCAAAGGTGTTGAGCTGGCTGGGGAAGGAGGTGATGCCCAGGAGGCTGAGTTAATGGTGAACAATGGTTCGTTAAAGTAATTTAAAACATCAAGGTTTATGGAAGAGTCTGGAGGAAGGAGGGTTGTTTGATAGGAAGAGAGCGTAGGATGTGCTCGTTTAATTATTAACCGAATGATTTGGTGTGCGTGGAGATTGTTGCCTTTTTGATTTAAACGTGGGTAAAACTCGCATCGTTTGTTGGAAGGGCTTGTACAGAAGCGATCTTTCGGTGTTGAAACAGGAGTGCTGTCAAGTGTTTTGGGGTTGTACCCCCTGTTGCTCGACTATTATATGTCATTGCATTTAATATGTGTCATGTAAACTAAAAAAACTACAAATTATTACCAGGTAAGACCCACTGAGCTATGTAGATCTTTTTTCAGAAGCCACGTGGCCACAAATGATAGCTGAACGGAAGTGGCTTACCATATGGAAATTCATAGCAGCCAAATACCCTAAATGCGTGTTTCTAAACGTGGAGGTAAAAATCGGAGGACCTGGAGAAATATCCACAATGACCAGGGGGAGGACATGCAAACTCCAAATATACAATGGGCGTCAGGAACTGGATCGAGCCCACAACCTCCTACATACCAGGCGAGGGAGTTAACATCTCAACACCCGCGGCACCCTGTACATGATTACGTATATTCGTGGCAGAGCGTGAGCTGCTGATAGACAGGCGGTACAACCCAACATGAATTCGGAGAGCCGTATGACACAACCGCAACAACAACAACAATAACGACGCAGTAGTGGCAATGATAGGATGGTTTGGCATCTGATGGATACCTCCCGAGGTTCAACAAGACCTGCTGAAAGTGCTGGGCCATCTCTGTGCGAGGGAGAAAAAGGCGTTGGGAGTGAGAATACGGGGAGAGGCGGCGGCTCTGGGGACGTGCGGCAGAGTGTTGTGGGGAACACGGTGAAGACGGAGTTGAACACAACTCTCTGGAGGCTGTCTGCGATGGGAATCATGGCAATAATTTTGTAATTTCAGAAAGCCGTAAAACATTGTCATTCCTAATGAAATATAGACATGTTTTTCCCCCCATTGTGTCCATTACACCAGCTGAGATGAATAAGGCCCATTTGTGCGCACAGGCCCGAACGCACGATTAGTAACGGTGCTTAAATCACCGGCTGGCTGTGCACGGCTCCTCCAAACAGACGACGCTGGAGCCGATGAGCGAGACTTCGTCTGCTTTTCACGGCAGACGCAGTCGGATCGTCTGAGGCTCGACGCGTACATTTTGTGACATGTGAATCTCGCGGTGTCAGCAGATACCGTAAATATCATTTCGACGCACAACCAATACAAGTTTAACTCGAGTGCTCTTGAGTTAGTCTCGTTCAAGGCCGTAGCCATGGAGTCAACATTGGGGGGGAACAAATCTTCCAGGGGATCTGGGGGTCCCCCCCCCCCCCAGAAAGAAAAATCTAAATTTGAAAACGAATTTCCTGCCATTTCCTGCCTAAAAATATATTTTAAAAATCACTAACACATAGGATGGACTTTTTATTTATTTTTTACAATAATATCTAATAGTGTATTGTATTTTACCTTTTCTTGTTTCATTGTATGTATTGGCAGAGATTAGGGATTAATAAAGTACAACCATAACCACAATCATATTAACATAAATCTATTTGATAGCAATTTATTGGGGGGGACATTTTGAGCATATTTGAATATTGAGGGGGATGTGTCCCCCCCAATTTATATTATAATTACGGCCTTGCTCTCATTGCTCGCCATCACTCGAATTGATGAATAACTTTAGTTTGTAAAAATAAATACATGTTTTCATGATTTCCATGCAAGTCTTGCCCAGAAATTATGTATATGTCCGATCAGCATAAATATATCTCGAGTAGAAGTCAGGCCAGGCCCGATAATGAAATAATTATTTTATTATTTTATTATAATCAAATGGAATTCACAACTCAGATCTGAGTGTTTTTTTCCACTTCACTTGTTTACCCAGTAAAGCCTCACTGAGTCTCAAGACCTTTATTGAGGAGGGTCCTGCCAAGCCTTTGCATGCCTCATGAGTAATATTGCAGATGTTTCACCATTGGAATGTTTGGTCAATACCAGTTGCATTCTATGAGGGGTTTTTTTTAGCTATTGGAGTAAACCGGAGAACCTGGAGCAAACCCATGCAGAACAGGAGGAGAGAACGTACAAACTCCACGCAGAGTAAGGCACCAGAGTCAAGAATCGAACCCAGGTCAAAAAAACTGTGCAGTGAGGCGCGAATGTTGCCACCGCGCCTCCTTGCCGTGCGAATTGGAAGTCGACTCGAGTTGTCTGAAAATATGGAAACGTGGAGGGGGGAGGGGAAGATACAATCTCTGCAAACCATGAGCCAGGGAGAGAGGTCACTTTGTGGCGATCACACACTGCTTTGGTGTGGCAGTAGTTGTCCGCAAGGCACACACAAGATGATACAAACCTCAAATTAAAAAAAAAACCCTTTGTAAAGTTTGCCCCGATGTTTTCTTTTTTAAACGTACTATTTTCACTCGCTCAATTACAGAATTTTAATGGTAGACAAAAAGAAGGCAAACATTGTCTGTGTAGACAACCGATTACAAAAAGGAAGGGAAAAAAAATGCTTTGAAAGGGTTTGTTTGCCTGATTACTTACAGGGTCCCCATGACATTAGCCACAGCAGTTTGTGACTTTCCTTGAGCTCACTTTTTTTTTGTCCACAGACAGCCTTCAAAGAGGCCCCAATGAGGCATTTCATTTTCTGTCTCTCTCTCTTTTTTTCATTTTCTCATTTGAGAATCTCTAGGGAGGAAATTGGGCCAAAAACAGCCCTAGGTCTTCTTGACATAACATTGGCAAGGTCACTTTCAAGCATCCATACCAATCACTGATCTCTCTTCTTCTTCTCTGGGACAGTGATGGGAGGAGTAATAGTTTCAGCGTGTTGCTCTGTACGTTTGTCATGTGAAGGGCAGCTGGGTGGCGAGCAATGGAG